AAAAAAAAAAGGACCGTATACTGAAAGATGCTACTGATGAGAACTACTGCCAACTGTGAGGAATTTCTTGGGGATTTTAGGATCAGTCTTCACTAGCCTAATGTGATTTAGCTATTTTCCCCCAAATATACCATCTGCTTGAATCAGGTAAGTCTTTTCCCTCACCTAAGACTTTGAAGCCAAGAAAAAGTTCTGTGCCAATATCCTTAATAAGGAGTCTTCTTCCCTCATAGAACATTTCCTCACATAAAGAATGTTTCACAAGAGACTTAAAAAACATCTAAGGCTGCTGATGTGGTAATCCAGCCTCCAGACATCTGGCCTAAGAGAATAAGCAGAACTTTATTCAAAATTTTTATGCAAAGAAGTTCCTTTCAGTGTTATTTATAATAGAGAAAAGCTTAGGAGCATTATATATAGTCAACAGAAAAGGAATTATTAACTAAATTATGGTATATTCACATGTGGAAATTTGGGACCATTATTAGAAAATTCAGTTTTCAAGTCTATTTAATGACACTGGAAATGTTCTTAGTATAATGTTAAGTAACAAAAGTGGAACACTAGTGGGAATGTGAAGTGTCACAACCCCTGTGGAGGGAAATTTGGCAGTGTCCGCCATCATTTCACACACACTTACCCTCTGACTAAGCAATTCTGCTTCCAGGAACCTACCCCATACATACAGTGGCAGAAACACAAAGTGCTGTATGTGTTGCTCATTGCAAAATTATTAGTATTATTTCTGTATTTTAGGGAAGGGTCTACAGGGTGTTCAGGGTCTCACTACTAGATCAGACTCATAGTGATCCGCCTGTTTACAGCCTCCCAAGAGCTGGGATTACAGGCACATGCCGCCACGCCCAGTCTCAATTGCTGTCTCAGCACGCCCTGGGTGCGGGGCCAGCAGGGCAAGCCCAGGGATCAAAACCCTGGCTCCTGCATTGCTTGCAGGTATACAAAATTATTTTCAATAGCAAAAGAGAAAGACTAACACAGGCCATCACTAAGTGACTAATGAGATAAATTATCATACACACAAAATGAAGGACTAAGCAGCTACACAAGGTACAATGAAGAACTTATGTACAGAAAAAAATCTTCAAAATATTTTGATATTTTGTTAGAGAAAAAAATTGAGACAATAATTTATATAATATGATACCTTTAAATGTAAAACCAAGCTCAGTAAATTTTTTTTTTTTTTTTTTTTTTTGGCCGAACCAGGAATTGAACTCAGGTCCTTGTCCTTGCCAGGCAAGTGCAAGCTCAGTAATTTTGTGCAATTCTTAAAAACACTTGACAATCTAGCTGTGAAATATGTCACAGCTTGTCTCTATGTAATGTCTGTCAATTCTATTATTCCAATGATTATGGTTTGGGAGTAATTTTGTACCTTTGGGCATCTGCCAATGTCTTAGAATCATATTTTGATTGTCCCAACCAAGAGGGTGAGGCTGCTGGCATCTAGAGGGTAGAGGTCAGAGAAGGTGCTAAATATACTACAATACCCACGACAGCCTTCATGACAGGGTTTTCCATTTCAGATAGGCTAGGCCTATACCATTTTCCTCCTCAGAATGTTATTATGATTCACACACCTACAGTATTTAGATGGCAATGGAATACCCATCTCTGACAGGACTAAACAATAAAAAGGGATACAAAGGAAGGACCATTTTGCATCTGTATATATAAAATAGTTAGGATAGATATACAGTTACTTTTGCTTAATCCAATGAGAAGAAAGATTTGTACTAATAGTGTTTGGACAGGATATCCTGTCTGCATCTTATACTGTGAATAACCACTACAAAGATAACAATGTACAATGTATTAATTATTGAAACT